ACACGCGCACACGCGCACAACATCGCACACACCGCGCGCCACACGCCCACTCGCGCTCACACGCGAAAGCACACCGCGCACGCACGCACCGACGCCGCACGCCCGCCCGCCCGCCCGCCCGCCCGCACGCACGCACCACGCAACGCGTTGCGCAGCTGCGCGCCGCCCGCCCGCCCGCCCGCCCGCACGCACGCACGCACGCATTCCACACACACACACACACACACACACACACACACACACACACACACACACACACACACACACACACACACACAAACACACACACACACACACAAACGCACGCACGCACGCACGCACGCACGCACGCACGCACGCACGCACGCACGCACGCACGCACGCACGCACGCACGCACGCACGCACGCACGCACGCACGCACGCACGCACACGCACGCACACGCACGCACACGCACGCACACGCACACGCACGCACACGCACGCACACGCACGCACACGCACACACGCACACACGCACACACACGCACACACGCACACACGCACACACGCACACACGCACACACGCACACACGCACACACGCACACACGCACACACGCACACACGCACACACGCACACACGCACACACGCACACACGCACACACGCACACACGCACACACGCACACACGCACACACGCACACACGCACACACGCACACACGCACACACGCACACACGCACACACGCACACACGCACACACGCACACACGCACACACGCACACAAGCACACACGCACACATGCACACATGCACACATGCACACATGCACACATGCACACACGCACACACACGCACACATGCACACACGCACCCACCCACACTCATGCACCCACGCACGCACTTGGAAGATGGGAATTTGTTCTTGGCGATCCTTATGGGCAGTCAGAAACTCTGTCTGCCCGGCACAAGCTGGCTGCGCACAAGAAAATCTGACAAGGTGGTGTTCTGGTCCTTCCTGGTGACGTGCTTTATGTACACCAGGGACCCCATGGTGGGGAGTGTCGACCTTCTCTTCACCCTGATGAGCATCACGGCGTACCTGTGGTTGGGGACTCAAACAGTTTGGCCAAATATGACACATGAGTCAACCTTTGAACATCGTCTTAGTGCCCCAGCTGTCCAGAGGTTCGACCGCGCCTCGATCCTGAGCGTGAAGCTGGAGCAGGAGATGGAGGAAGTTGCGTCCGTGCGCCGAGCCTGCCACCTGCTCCTCTCCTCAGTGCCCTGGATGATTTTCCGCCCAGGGTGTGTCTGTTTTAAACGGCGCCTTGTTGGAGGATGGTGGGAGACCGAACGGAAGCTGCTCATTTGCGGTCCCCGAGCTGGCGTGTGACACGTGCAGTTTGCAGCTGGTTGGGGCAATTGGGTGCAACAACCAGGCACTCGCCTCATGGAGACTAAACATCTTTCATTTGGGCAGAGGCGCCTCTTTTTGATCGCTCCTGTGCCCTGAGGATTCGGTGTTTTGTTGCTATCTTTGTTAGGGCTTCTTCCCGGTTGACCAGTTGGTTTGTGGTTGGTTGGTTGGTTGGTTGGTTGGTTGGTTGGTTGGTTGGTTGGCTGACTGGTTGGTTGGTTGGTTGTTTGGTTGGTTGGTTTGTTGGTTCGTTGGTTCGTTGGTTCGCTTGGTTCGTTGGTTGGCTTGCCCCTGCGCAGGAGAGACTAACCGCTAGAAACTCAAGAGAAATGCAATTTCAATTCTGTCGGTTTGCAAGTTTTAGATTGTAATGCTTTAAGTTTGATTCATATCTTAATTAGACATGTTGAAATAGAACTTAAACATGTTTCTCTTTCGAGGTAGGGTTCTAATTGGGAATCTCTTAACAAAGAAAGCTTGTTGCCCCTTCTAACTTGCAAGCCCCTGAAAAGGAGTGCGACGAAGTGAACACCTAAAAAAAGCTGATTTCAGTACAATTTGTTCGCAAGGTTTACATTGCGAGGCTTTACATCTAAATTGGATTTCGGTAGGGTTCAATTCATATGTTTCTAAGTCAGGTATTCTCACTTTCCTTCCAGGCAAATTTCTAAATGGAAGTTACTTACACTTTGAATTTAATGTCACTTTAGATGTACGATGGGATCTCGTCCAAATATGCGTTCAACAAGAATTTAAATATATAAATTGTCTGTTGTAGCTAGGTTGTAATCAGGAATTCCTGCCAATTCTAAATGGGATTCCTCTCCAAATTGGATATAGATTGTGAATGTCATTAGAACTTAGTTAGAAACGCACTATAACGTATACAACCGGACGGCTGAAGCTGTCTCAGGTCGGGTTGGTCGTGCCATGGATAGCGCTTGTAAGAACCTCTGACGTCAAGCAGATTTAGACAGGTTTACGTGCTGCTACTGCTTTTTGATTTGGTGTGAAGTGACACAACAGTGCTGTCAAGATTGCCGAATGCAGCGATGGCTGGCCAAAGCCTAGCCCCAAAGGGGTTTGTGCAGCTGGGAGAAGCATTCGGACAGCCACAATGGCGAGAAGCGCTAGCAGTGAACGTAACCACCAACAGAATCAGGGTAGTTGTGAGGTTGACCAAGCAAGAGGTGGAAGCAGATTGCTGCACCCACTTTGCCATGGAGAACGGGCTGCGCTACGCCATCGTGCACGGCCGTCCTCAGCAGCTGAGAGCTCTGTGTCCGCCTACCTGCTGGAGGGCGAAGAGTCCGACATTCGCAAGCGAGCGCAGATGCTTCTTGACTTGGACGACGAGATTGCCTTCGCCGCCGCAGCAGAAGAACCCCTTCCGCAGCGCAGAGGCCCGCCTGCCACCGTAGAGGAGGAGGACAGTGGCTCTGGATCTGAGAGCGGATCCTCAGGGCTGGTTGACCAGATCAAGAAGCTCGGAAAGAGCTGGCTCGCAGAGGGTACCAAGCCTGAAAGGCGCGAACTGGCGTCTTCAAGCCAGAAGAAGCCAGCCCGCAAGTTCAAGCTGCTGCAGCAGGAGCGCAACAACACGAAGGCCGCAGATGCGCCCAAGGACTTGCTGCTTTAGACAGCCTTGAAGAAGGTTACAGACAGCAGTCAATCCGACCCCTTGCGCACTCTGCTGACCTGGAGATGGTGAAGTGCTTGCAGAGCACGCGCCAAGAAGTCTCCGGAGTCGTCCGAGGAGGAGGAGGCGGATCAAGACTTGGTGAGCGACAACGCCTGGAGTTCGGAGCACAGCGCTCGTCTTCGCGGGAATGGCGCCTCACGTGCCCGTGCAATCGCGGGCTATCGGAAAACGCGGAAACGCATTTTCCGAAAGCCCCTCACACATGTGAGGCGGTGTGTCCGGGAAGTCGAGCGGGAACTAGGAGCAGGCGGAGGAATCCCTTACCGGCTGAGAGACAGGCAAGCCTGCGCCGCTTTCACCTCATGCTCTCGAACGTGCTGGAGACCATACTCGAAGGCAAGACCAACCGCGCGGCGGCGCAGCTCGTGTGCTGAAGAAGCAGTTTGCTGCAAGCAGTCGCTGCCTACTTGAAATCCATGAAGAGCTTGGAGAAGCACACCCAGCAGGCCTGCCAGCATGATCGAGGCCAGCCGAGCGAGAAGGAAGGCCTCCCAAATTTCCTTTTCACTCCCCAGCAAAGCCTCGAGAACGACAAGGCCAAAGGGCGCTGATCCCGAGCCTCCGCTTCCTGTGCAGTTGGCCTTAAGCGTCCATGGCGCGTTCACAGGTTTGTAACAATAGTTAGATCTCCCACAATACAAAAGAAAATAGGGCTCAGGACGTCGCCTGTCTCAGGCGGTTGAAAGTTATTTCCGTCTTTGCTACCTGCATCAGCAGTCAGCCCAATGCCTGTAGGGCCCAGGGCGCGCCAGCGAAGACGAGGCCAGCAACGTTCAAGGCAGTGGTTAAAGGTGTGTTGGGCTCTTCTGACTTTTTTGGACGCAGGTTGCCCTGCTACCACTGAATCTTTTAAGAACCCTTTGGCCCCGCTCCACGAAGAGTGTGCTGGCTCCCCGCAGAAGGAAATTCAGTTTTACTGCCGCCCTGGAAGCAGTTCGCAACCTGGTCGCGGCGGTGCCAAATTAGCTCAAATGTTGAAGTTGCAAAAAGCATCAGGTTATCATCCGGATACGTGAGATCGACCCAACCAGAACGTCGCTGCCTACGGTGGCAGGAATCATTGATCCTGCAGACCACCTCGCCGGAGCCCGCCGAGAGCCTTTCCTGTCTATGCCAGACGGGTGAAGGTTTGCCAAAAGCTTCTGGATAGCGGGGTTGCAAAGCCCATTCCTGTTGAGGATGGCTCGTATGACTGCAATCAAGAGCTAATTTGCGCTGGCCTTTTCGCTGTACCGCATAAAGAGCAGTCAGATAGGATCATTTGTGATAGAAGACCTTCCAATGAGTTTGAAAGACGTATTCAATGGGCAGCCCTCCGGCACGGGTCTTTGTTGACGCAACTGTTACTACAACCGGAGCAAACATCGGAGACAGTCAGGGGGTCAGGGGACGACCTTGCAATCTATTTTTATCTTCTAAAGCACACCCCTTTTTGGTGCCCTAGAAACACAATTACCCCCCAATGGTTGGCAGGCACTTCATGATGAAGTGCTCTCTTTTGGAAGGCCCCCGCCTTCGCACACTTGGGAAGGCTTGTGCTCTGACTTTGTCAGGGACCAAGAAATCATCAGGGGCAGCCGTCGCAGATATGAAGATCTCAACATCTCCCGGTCAGAAAAGAAGGCGTTTGAACAACAGTCAAACTTTGTTGCATGGGGGAGTGAAGTCTGCAGTCAATCGGGACGTGTTGGAGCACCGCGTGCAAAAATTCGGGACTTCATCCAACTTCTGTGCCAAGTGCTGCAAATGAAGTGGATTAGAAAAAAGCTTGCAACAAGTTGTCGGCTTGATGATTCACCCTCATGATGCACAGCCGACTCCACATGTCGCTTTGGCACAGCGTTTTCCAATGCATTGAAGCTGCGTCCGATAATTCGAAGATTCGCTCCAACCCTGCTGTCAGAGAGGAGCTCCTCACGTGTGCCCTTTTGTTGCCTTTTTTCCGAGCGCACGTGTTTCTGCAACTAATGCAAGCAGTAAGGCTGGGGGCAGAGCAGCTTGCCTGACCAAGAAGTGGCTAGCTGCTGCGGCTAGCTCAAGCCTTGTACCGCCTCGACGTGCGTCGCGGAGAGCACGTCCGCTTGGACTGGCAGGTGCTCTTGGGCCGGCGTCGCGCATGTCTCCTGCAAGCCCTGAGGTAGAGGAGCTTGTGACTACACACTTTTGGGTCCCCACTGAGAGTGTTGTTTTTAAAAAGCGCCGTCATATCAACCTCCTTGAGCTTCAGATGGTTTGCAAAGATCTTGTAGAACGCGCGTGCCAAGATGGTGCGTCTGCCCGCCTTGTGAACTTGTGCGACTCAAAGAGTTGTCTGTGGGGCTTTTGGAAAAGGGAGAAGTAGTTCGACCCATGTGAACAGATTGTTGCGCTCTTGTCTTGCCATCAGCGTAGCTTCTGGCAAAACTTTTGCATAACATTTGGGTTAGAACCTTCGGACTATCCCTCTCGGTTGCCGGAATTTCCTTTACCAAAGCCTTTTACGCAGGAGCAGCTTGAGTTGCTTGGTGACAACGCAGTGTCGTTGCAATCTCCTGTGACGGTTTGGGATGTGAACTGCCTGCGTCCTGCCTGGGACACAGCGCAGGAAGCAGACCATCCCGCCACATTGGGGAGCAGCCCCAGTGTGCCAGTTGCGGCTCAGCAAGAGAAGCAGGCCTTGCGTGCTGCAAAACGGTCCCAGCATCCTGCGGAAGCAAGCTGGGCCTTCAAGGAAGTTTTTGCGGGGTGCCAACAGCTAACTCTTTGAACGCAACCTTGGTGGGAAGCGTGTCAGAGACCAGGACATTGCGGCGCCGCATGAGTTTGAATCACTTTTGAAGGGAGCCAGCTCTCCTCACCAAGTTTGGCTTTCGGATTCCCTTCTGGCAGTTTTTCACAAACGCAGAACATGAACCAGGTCACTCGTTGTAAGGCATATCCGCAAGGGAACGGCACGGGTACCCGCGAGGTGCGTGACAATCAGCTCCTTGCTCTCACCTTGCAGTTATGTGCTGTGCTAGCTGAAAACGGAAGTTTTTTTTTATCTTGGAAAACCTATTGTGCAGTTCCGAAAAACCTGCCCCGGCCTTTTTGTCAAGCTTGACCAATGCCAGTTTGGGCTGAAGGTGCCTGGCGCTAGAGGCAGGTGGAGGTGCGCTAAGAAGGCCACTGTTTTTTGGGGTAATCTGCCAACCTTGGAACGTTTGCACAGCCGCTGTTCTCACACGCATGAACATGTACAAGTACTTGGGGGTGTTAGGACTTGTCAAGCTTGGGTGCGGAGTGAGATTGCAGGGCGCTATCCGCGCAGATTGTGTCGCACATACGCGTCCGCCGTGCTGCAGCTGTTCGAGTAAGGTTGAATCAAAACGTGATTTTTGCATAGACATCGTGGCGATGCCGGCTGGTGTTCGGCTAAGCTATAGCGCGCTACACCGAAAGAGGTTACTGACTCATGGAACTGAGTTAGCGTTGTATCTGCAACGCCATTCAAACCGAGTGCACTTTTGGCAAGCTGAGCCGCATTTGCTGGGCGAACTGTTTAGCAATTTTGTGGCTCACAAACACCAACTCCAAGAAAGAGGCGGGCTGATTGCTGCAAACCATGCCCTGCTTTTTGTGCAGCCGCTGCGCCCTGAGCTTCGTGGCAAACTACCGAGCGCATGGTCAACTTTGAAAAGCTGGGAAGAAAGCTTTCCTAGCTCTTTTAGAGTGCCGCTGCCAATGCCATTGCTGATTGCCATGTTGTCCGTTTCCAGGGCACACGCCGAAAAAAATCGGTGTGGCTTGTGTTTGCTGCGATGTTGGAGCTCGGATTTTGGGGCTTGCTACGCCCTGGAGAACTCTGCGCTCTGCTGCGTGAAGACGTAGTAATTCCCAATTCCTTGTCGCTCGGAGGTCCCTACATAACGGTTAGAATCGCTAACCCCAAGAATAAAAGGCATTTTGGTCGACAGCAATTCGTGGTGATTCAGCACTCCAATTCTGTTAGCTGGGTGACTTGGGTAGTAAGCTGCGCTAAGCCCGACGCGCAGCTGTGGCCTGGATCTACGCAAGAGTTCAGAAATATGTTCCGTTTGGCACTAACCAAGTTAAAGCTTCAGCATTGTCGGTTCTCTCCAGCCAGCCTCAGAGCTGGAGGAGCCAGCTTCTTTTCGCACACCGGCATGGAACTTGGTAAAGTGAGACTGTTAGGGCGTTGGGCGGCAGAGGCAAGCTTGCAACACTACGTGCAGGTCGCCACGGCAGAACAAGTTTTGCCCAAGCTCCCGGAAAAGGTCTCGCGCAGGTTGCTGACAGTCATACACGCAGGCTTGACCTTTTGCCACAACCGAACAGCCGCATGCAACACATTCCAAAGCAGCATCGCGCACCGTGCGTGAGAATCAGGGTGTCAGAAGCGGACTTGGTGGTTCCGGCCTTGTTTTGCTATGGAAGCCTGGCCGGCAAGCAGTGGTGAAGGGTGGTCCCTTGAATGGAGCTCGTTACCTTGACGTGTCTGAGGAACAGCTGCGCAAGGCGGCCAAAAACTATTGCGCAGATGCCAGGTTCAAGCAGTTTGCCAAGCAAGCCGTAGACAAGAGCACGGCTTCTGGATCGGCCGCTCCAACTGACCAGTTGCCGGGCAGGGACTCTATCGCCCCCCCCCCCGCGCAATGCCAGGATTGCTTTCACTGAAGAAGCACATTTCTTTGAAGAGCTTCTTGTTGGGGCTGCAGGTCATGTGTGTGTCCATCCTTTTCTTGGTCATTGTGACGAGGCCAGCTTTTGGCACACTTGTGTCAAAGTTGATTACAAAGCTCGCCAGGAATGTTGTGCGTTTGGTTTTAGTTTCCTTTATGGATGAGATCCTGACGGAACTTGCGCAGCAGTTGGACGGGCCGCAGCAGCAGCTGCAGCCAAGTGAGCGCTTGCAGCTCCGCCAACGCTGTGCCCGTCCTCTTTGGTGCAAGTTCTGTTAGCTTCTGTCACTGCCGTGATTGCCGTATTTGCACACAGACACATGCCAGAGTTGAACATCCCGCGCGCCCCCAGGGGCTAGCGGATTGCAGGCCACCTCGCCCCCTCCACCGCCCTTTGCTGGAGCTTTGGGAGAAATGGATTGTCTTCTTAGGCATTCTGAGCAACCGACTCTTTGCGAAATGCTTATTTGCCAGGGATCTTTGGCAACCGATTCTTTGGCAAACAGCCCTAGGCATTCGTGGCAGCCGGTTCTTTTGCAAACAGTGCATGCTGCTGCTAAGCAAAACGCTCAGCAGCAGGTGGGCAGCAGCCCACACACAGATTTCAGGAGTGGCCTCGCCTCAGAAAAGGCGCTTGCTGCAGCCACCGGCAAGGGACATAACTAGAACCTAGTAAGGAAAGACAGGCTTGTCATTTCTGCAAAGCGGTTCAGAATTTAAATGGGGTTTCCTTTCCAAGCATCTACGAGTTTAATTAGGTTTTAGTTGTCATCTAGCTAGAATCTGGTAAAGCTGGCTGTTTCTTCTAGCTAAATTGAATAGAATTCGGTTGTGGTTGGCCTGTGAAATGCCCAGGCAGCGGTGGCAAAATTTTCCTTCTTGCGGATATGTGTTTCTTCTTGCTAAGTAGCTGAGTTGTTTTTTCCCCCGGTTGGTTTTGGCAACCAAAAACAAGCAAAACATCAGATCCTATGTATCCATGCTGGCTGAGTTAGGGTGTGAAATTTTGTTTGTTTTGTTTTTGTCTTGTCTCGTTTTTTAGAGCCTTTTTTGGCACTATCAAAGACACATACGCAACAACTACAAAATCCCTGTGTTTCAACCCCCCCTCCCTTCTGTGTTTTATATGATACACAGGTACATCATGCACACATTCATATGCACGTTTGATACCCAATCAGCAAATTATGAAACGGCTAAGCAAAGCAATCGGCAAACATTTGCATATGCCGTATGCTTATGAGAATGGCCGTCTCCCGTTTTTGAGCCCCGAGATCTGCGATGCAGTGGTGGAGCTGGACGCTGAGCTGAAGATCGCGGAGGATGTGCACCGCCTGGGCAGTTGGCTCCTTCACGGGAGGACCTTTCGGGGAGTCGAAACGGGGTGGGCGGTTTGAGCCCATGGCCGAGCAAAGGAAGATGGTCCTTGGCTAGGTCAATAGGCAGTGGTTTGCCTTATGGCTCTGAGTTGCGGGGAGGTGTGCCTAACGGGGCCTTTCAAGGATAGCAGCTAGTTGAAGGTTTTTCGTTTTGGAGCTGATTTAGAGGAAAGCATTTTTGAAACGGGCTGTTTACGGATGCATCCTTTTCAGGCGTGTGCAGTTGGCGAGCATGGGTGGATTTCATTGGTTTCTGTTTGGTTCTATCTGTGTATTAGCAGGGTTGTGGTCTTTGGGAAGCCTTTCCTGTTGTATCACAGAAGCGGTTATTTCTCACAGCCCTGTTTCTTAGTCGCTTGCTCTGTTTCAGAAGGGTTCCAACATGCGCACCACCAAGCCTTTTTCCAAGGTGCTCAACCAAGCCATGTCTTGCCCGCAAAGAAGGAGCATCAAATATGTTCAGAGCGCTTGTTTTTGGCGGCATGCTCAACATCTTACTTACAACTGTGCGACATGTAATTGCTGAGTGTGACAGGATGCATCATGCAACTGGTGGGTGGCAGTTCGGTTCCTGTTGTATTTGGGGAGGGGCCCAATATAGTCCAAGAATGGAACCCTGTTCGGGCCTGTCCAGGAAGCACACTGTTCAAGGCCGCGAGATGCAGCATTTCCTCCACAGCGAGCCGGATCGAGTGCTCTGGATCGAAGAATTGGCCGGTTACAGGCAGCGCACGTTGCCGAAAAGGAATGGGGTAGGGCGGTGGCCTCTGCAGTTTCGTTTATGTTCCATTTTCCTTTCCACCGGGAAGACTAGACACAATTTGGGGTCCCCTCTTCAAGTAAAATGTGAAATTCGGTGTGCTTCTTGAAGGTGCTCTCTTTCGGGTGGGTTTCGGAGACCAAAAGGAACCTCAACATTCCCAAATTTGACACACACACACACACACACACACACGCAGATCCATTGGTTCCAGAGGTCGTTAAGTTTCTGGCCCGGGCTGAAATCCCCGGTGTGGTGCGTGAGCTTGCCTGCACGACACGTTTGCTCCAGTCTTGGCCTTGGCACCACTGTTTAGCCTCGCATGACTGCAGGCATCTGGGGGTTGATCAAAAGGTCCTTTACATGGGATGACCATCGGTGGAAACCACTCAAAAAAGATACAATTTTTCAACCGCATGGGAAGAGTTGCCCAAGGTCAACACTGGGTGAAGGGAATATGGATCACCCCCCCCAAATTCCCTCGCACCATCTCTTTCTGCCTTCAGTTTTGGGGTGCCTCGAGCCATTCCGAGGAAGCCTTCCTGGGGGAGATGAATCGTGACCTGGGCACGGGCAGCGCCACGGTGGCCGCGGCCTTCCACCTGAAGATGCGGGACGGCTCCGGGCACCCGATCCCCGCAGAGTGTTTCCATGTGGCTTGGAAAACTAAAGGGGCGCTGGCAGAGCCGGCTGCAGGAAACCCCCACAGCTGACCTCGACGCAAATATATATATATATATATATATATATCTTTTATCTTCGCTTGGCGGGTGGGGAAAATGTTGCGGGAGAGCATGTGACTGAGAATTGCTCTGGGTGTGCCTGCTGGGCTGCGTCGCGGAGCACAATTGCAGGGTGCTGACGAGTGTGACAAAGAGTTGCGCTGAGCAGGGTTGTTACAGAGTGCGGTCGCGGGCAGGGGGGGGGGTTGCGAAGGGGTGCGCGCGGGTGCTGTGAACTGCTGCTGTGGGAGATTGCGAAGCAGAGTCGGGCAGGCGCGTCAATATTCTGTGAGATATGATGTGCAAGAAGCAATTCCGCGCATTGTGTGCCAACTCTTCTTTCATTTGTGTGGCTTGATGCCGGAGATTTGCGCCATGGAAAGAGCATTCCCGCAAGCATCTGCTACTGCCAAAGGCCCCGGAAAGTTCTTCTCTGTAGTTCGTGCATAGTTGGAGCAGCATGCCCTTAGTGGTTTGGCACCTTCCATGCATTTTGCGAACAACACGTCATTGTTACCCCTTGTCGTTCTGGCGCCGGAAATTATTTTGCAAGTTGTGCAGTTTACTTTTTTTGAACAGACAAACACCAGTGTTTATTCTGCAATTCTTGAGTAAACTCCTTGCCAGATGGGCCCGGGAGACCGCGCTTTTGGTCTGTATGTCCTACGTACAAACCATCAATTTGTTTTAGTTTGGTGCAAGAAATCACCGAGAAACAGATTGAAGAACATGCTTCTGTGAATGTGTTCGCAATGGCATAGGTAGCTCACATTTGCAACATGCCCTGTTGTCCTTTGCCTATTTAGTACTGGAAAAGCTACCGTTCAATTTTGCGAGCACCGGTGCGCTCTTTATCTTTTGCTGTTTCTCGAGGGTGCGGACAACATTTGCTAGCTAAAATACCATCCTGCTTTGCTGGGGCGCCAGTCTGTTTGCGCAAAGGTGTCCTTCAGCTTGGCCGAAGCAAGTTGGCAACCAACTTGCCATTGATTTTCAGCGCAGTCCAGATTTGGGGGTGTCTTTTCTTTGAGACTGGGGAACTGCGGTAGGGCGCGCTTTTTTTTTGGTTGTTGTTGTGATTTTTTGAAGCTTACACTGGCTTTGCTGAAGAGTGTTTGTAGCTGCAAGTTCTGAATCACTCAACAGGGTCGGTGTAACACGCTGCTAGCTGCTGCTACTCATTCAAGCCAGAGTGGTTGTAATGATCCTCGCATTTGTCTGTTCAATTTTCATCCCCGTTTGGCATTAGAATTGAATCTGAGTTCAATTAGAATCCTGTGTGGAAGACAAACTGGTCGCTTCTTCGACTTAAAAGGAGTGATCAAGCAATGGAAACTCAAGGAACATGCAATTTCAGTTCTATTGGTTTGTATAAGTTTTAAACTGCAACGCTTTAAGTTTAAGTCGTTTTAGATATTTTTCGACTTTAAATAGTATGTTGAAATGTAACTAACATTTTTTGTCTTTCCAAGCATAGTTTTCATTGGGATTGGAGAAAGTCGAATAAGGAACGGCAAGCTTGTTGTTTTTCTAATGTGAACGCCCTGAAAGCAGTGAAACGCCAATTTCACCAGCATAGACCCCAGAAGGCGAAACACGTGGCACCGTTTGCAGGCCAGCACCTCTAACAGCGCTGCCAGAAGAGCGCCGCAAGCAACCCCCCAAACAGCATCTCAAGACCCTCACCTGCGCCAGCACCCCAGACTGCATGCGCACGGGTGTGGTTGATCTAGTTGATCTGGTGGAAAAATAGAGGGCGATTCCTGGTTTACCTGATGCTTCAATCAGCAAACAGTGCCATCTATTTTTGCCAAAAGGACACCTTTGTGCCTCCTAGCACCCTACCGTCAATCTTGCAACACCCGCGCCTCCAGCACCCCAAACAGCACCTACACCAACACCAAATTGCACACCCCCTAGCACCCAGCTGTCAATCTCGCAAATCACTTTCCCTTCTTTATTAGAAGTTAGAACCGCTATGGGGGAAAAGCCTATGGAAAATGCAAATGCCAATCCAATTGGTTTGCAAGTTTGAAACTTCGAGGGGATTTCGCGCAAAAGTTCAATTTACATTAGTATATTGAAATAGTTTAGACAGCATTTCCTTTCCAAGCAGGATTTCAATTCGTATTTAATTTGAACTCTTATTTTAATATAGATGTTAGATGGGATGTTCTTTCTGAATATGAGCTCAATTAGAGTTTATATAGAAGTTAGAATTCTTTTTTTAAATGAGATCTTAAATAGGAATTCCTTCCAATTCTAAATGGGGGTTCCTTGCCAGGTAGTCTTTTGAAAAGTAATTTGACTAGAACTTAGTTAGACTTCGAACCGAAGGAAAGCCAATCTGACTGCTTCTTAAAATACCAAACCCAATTCGAGAAAACCCAACAAAAGCAAAAAACCTCGAGACACCAAAACAAAGAGAAGAACAAACAAACATTAGAAAACATCTCGAAAACACACCAACAACACAAAAACATGAGAAAACAAAAAAGAAAAACCTCGAGAAAGCCAAAGCAACAACAAACACATGAGAGAACAAAAAGCATAAAACTCGACAAGGCCGTAACAACTCAACACAGTCAAGTACAATGTTTTCAGAACTCGTTCAACATCATGGCTGGTTTCCCAAAAAAGTACGTTCCACATCTTGTTTCTGGTTTTCTCGAGTTGTTTTTTTCTGTCTTTTGTTGGGTGTGTCGAGGTGCTACATATTTTTGGTGGCTTTCCCTGACCCGTTTTCTAGTGTGCTTGGGCTTGAGTGCCTTGCACGGGCCGGAGCTTGGCAGGTCTCAAGCGGCGGAAGAAGTGAATATCGGCCTCCCCTCTTTGTTCTTTTCGGGGGTCCCCCCTTTTTGTGGTTGCAAAGCGAAGCCAAAAAGGGAAACCAGGCTTTGGAGATTTTCGCAAAAAGGACATCGGGCTGCGAGGTCGTCCTCGTTTCGCTTAGGTGAAGTTTTGCGTGGGCAACAAAGTGCGGCACCTTCTTGGCCTCCGGGAATACGCGGACAATTCCATCCCCAAGCCGCTTGGCCAGGGCCGGTCCTGGAAGAGGGTGAATTCCGGTGGAAACATCAGGCTCAGCTAAAGCCATCGCACACAACGTCACTCTCTGTCTTTGCCCGTGTTGGTTGGGATAGCAAGTGCGCCATCTGAGATGCTACCAGTTCTTCAGCGGGAGAAAGAACTTTCCATTTGTTGTGGCCAATCACAAAGAATCGATGGTGGCAATTGGGTACTTGGGGCCGGCCTAAGGTTGCCAACGAAGCTGCCAGAACTACGAGTCGATATTGAGCGCATAGCAGGCGTCGCCATGGAGATGGAATGCTAAGTTCGGGGCTAACGTGGCATCTGATTTCCTCGCTGGGTTTCGATTGGGTTTGGTCCCTCCCTCCCTCCCTCCCTCCCTCCCTCCCTCGGTCTATCCCACCCTCACCCAACCTGAAAGCAGCCCAAACACACCCAACCCCGCCCTGAGCAACCTGAGCCTGCAGCCATCCCTGAAAAATCAAGGGCCACACCCGACGGCCAAACCCACCCTGAGCCCGCAAGCACCCAAACCTGCCCTAAAACTGCCCCACACCAGCTCAAAATGAGAATTGTATCACCCGAGAACCTTCCCTGAACTCACCTTCAAGCCACCTGAAAAAAGCCGAAGCCTCAAACCCTCGGCTCCAAGCGTTTTGCAGCCTAGCAAGTAGAGCGATTGCACATTCAGAGCAAGAAGCACGAGAGCACATGAAGCACGGGTGCACGCAAGAAGCGCGAGAGCACATGCTGGAAAGTAGCGCGGGAGCACATTCAGAACAAGAAGCAAGACAGCGCATTCAGAGCAAGTCGCGCGGAGCAACCTTCCGAACAAGTCGCACGAGAGCACACGCAGGGCAAGAAGCAGGAGAGCACGTGCAGACATGCAGGGCAAGAAGCAGGAGCGCACATGCAGGGCGAGCAGCACGAGAGCGCATTCCGAGCAAGAGGCATGAGAACCGTTCAGAGCAAGAAGCGCGAGAGTCTGAGCAAGAAGCGCGAGAGCACATTGAGAGCAAGGAGCACAAGAGCGCATTGAGAGCAAGAAGCAGACAGGCCAAGAAGCACGAGAGCGAACTCAGAGCAAGCAGCTGCGCGACAAAGCTTGCACGAGAAACATTGCGCGAGAAAGCTCGCGCAAGACATCTTCTGCGAGAAGTGGGGGCCCGAATGGTTTCACAGGACGCCTGCCCGTTCCGCCGCCCGACAGGCGCTATTTCGGCGGTCCGCCCCGCCAGTGGCGGGGCCAGGACAGCTGTGACAGGGCAAGACTTGAGCAAGCAATGACAAAGACAAGGTTGGGCTCGGCCCACTCAGTTGGATCTTGAAGCTGCAGATGATGTAACCTTGCAAGAGCCTGACTGGTCCCTGGAACAACCGGAGTGCCCTGGAACCCCCCACCAAACAGGAAGAACAGCCGAGGCCACTATTGTTAGGGTCAACGCAGCCTTGGTTCCATTCATCGCATCGGCCAGCAGCATGCTTGAGGCCCCGCGCGCAGTCGGACTGTTGCAGTCTAGCTACAAGCCAATCTCTTTGGCGGGGATTGGTTTTGGGCGGCGCGGTGACTCCCTCTGTGGAAATCGGCTTGGTCGATGTGGAAAATAAGGCTTTTGCTGTTTTAAACACGCGTCAGTGAGGGTAATGCGGGGCGGTACCGTGGTATCGCCCGAGGAGGGGTGGGTGGGGGGAAGGTGATACCAACTAGCCACTGATATCGAGGCGGCGCTGGGGGCGAGTTAGCGCGGTACCGATGTCAGGCAGATGGTGCCCTGGGCGGACAGCCGCCTGCGCCGCTTTAAACACTCACACACAAGCGCTGCCCGCCTAACCTCTGCAAACATTCACACATGCAACTCTTTGCTTGCAGGGCTGGGAGCGGACGATGGCCGAACAATCGGGCGGACACGCGCCGGCATGGTTAATTGGTGAGTTCGCGGCTGTTTTGCAAGGAATAAAAAGCTGACTGCGGCGCGGTTGAAACAACACAGTGAGTTTTTGTTTTAGATAGCAGCTTGCCCAATGCGTTTTTTTTAGTTGCTAAGTTCTATAACTTTCCTATTGGTATGTTGTAGTAATAGTGTCTTCGTGGCACGCATGAGGTATATAGCCAAGTTACGCTGGATCTAAACGCAATACGGAAGTTGTTGGGGATTTTCGGCATTTGGGCTTTGAATTGGGCAAGTTTTTGCAGATCCATGCTAGCGCCGGGGGCTTGTGAGATTGCATGTTTTTGCCGCAGCTTTTCGATGCTTCACAGCAAGGAAAGGAAAGGCAAGGTCAAATGAGCAAGGTTAAGTTGTGGCATGCACTTAGCCGCCGCAGTAAACGCGCATGGCGGCTTGAAAAAACAGGAGCGCAAAACTGTGAAGCTCCAGGGCTACAGCGCTCTACATACGCCTGGGCATGACGTGACGCGCGCAGGCATGTCTCGTGCACGAAACAGCACACGCCGCGCTCGCTATATAATATGCTTTCGGGCTACCCCTTCTTTTGGCTTTTTCTGATCCCCAATGTGCTTTCTCCATCGCCCAGCAACATTTTTAGGCCAACCCTTTACCTTGAAATGGCGCTCGGCACTGCTTGCAAGTAGAGCGGATTTGGAAATCTTGTTTCGATCCACCCAAAGTGCTCTTTTGATCCTGCGCCCTTCTTCAGGCGGCGACGCTGTCATGGAGTTCAACGCCATGGATTTCAAAGTCAGGGGTGCAACCCAAGCATTTTGCGCCGCTGGGCTGGTTACGGCCAGGGATTCGTCGACCTGTCTTTTTACCTATTTGATAGGCCAGGCGCAGGACATTCTACAGGACCTTGGCCAACCCTTCATGTTAGTAGAATTTCCATCCGCTGGCGCCTATCAGGAACCTTCTGTCATGTTTGACATTCCCCCTAGTAAAAGCTGCAACATATTGTTGGGCCAGGCATGGTTTTGAACAGGCTTGTGGCCTCATCAATTCCTTGGGTTGCTTGGATGCTCCCCTGAAAAACCATAACCTAGCAGAGTCTCCTTTTAGGTGGCGCGTTTTTTGGGTTCCAAATTTGCAGGCGGTGCGATCTCTATTTTAGAAGGTACCCCTTTTTGCGGGGTGAATTTAGACGGACAACTAAAGGGAGCGAGCACCCACGTGCGGTTCCCCGTTGAGACAATCCCATATTTTTCCTCGTGGTTGCCCCCTTGTTGCACTTGCCACGGGTTGCATTGTCTGTGCCAGTGACAACCTCTGGCTAGGTGTTCAGTTGCTGTGCCGTAAAGGCTTGAACTTTCATGCTACCGAGGCCAGCTTTGGCGATTTGTTTCATTTCTCCAGGCCTCCAGTAGAGCACTCTTCCGTTTTGTTGTTTGTTTTGTTTTGGGGGGAGGGTCCCTTCAAAATCGAGCCCAAAAGAAGTGGGCATTTCCGGGCAAGCTGGGGGTCTTGCGGGAAGCTCGGTTTGCATGTTGCAGCAAATCCTCCGAGGATTTGTTTCACAGCCACCGGCTCCCGCACACAAACGTCACAGACTACCTGGCAGAGGAGTCCAGAAACCAGTTCCTGCAGGAACGGCCGGGAGCAAATGGAGTTGGCGGGGCTCTTCTTCCAGACCATTGTGGGGGGTATGGACCATATGGATGTGAAGCCGTGAGATCCAAAAGGGGCTCACAGACTTTCCCAGGACTTAACATGCTTTTTCGGTTTGGACCGTGGCAAACAACAAGTTCGAACTTTGATTGGCCAATCACACGATCGGAAGTGAGGAAAAGGGGCCCTCGGAGATTCTAAGAACATGACCCACAGCAAGAAAGACTACAGCTCCTGCATGGTGGGGCGATGGCAATGAAGGTTTTTGACCGGCTGACAGGTGCTAAGTGTATGAGAGACATAGCACCAGCTGCTTCGGGCAAGCGGCCATGATTGCAAGTGATTAGGCAGGGCTGGGGTCTTTTGTTGGCGATAGCACGTGCGCCAGTCAACCAGGATGTCGCAAAGGCAGCTGCTCACTGATTGTTGTGAACATTCGCAGGTCGCTGTGGGAATTCGTTCAAGACAGGCCTCCAAAAACAACATGTTTTTTGAGTTGCTGATGTGCCAAGGCTGAGTAAATTTCACCTGCCCAGTAGCTTGAGGGGCTCCGAAGGACATCAGCTCCTACGTCAACCAACTGCTGTATTCGGACGACTTGCAGGCGGAAGCTGCGGCAACCTTGCCCCTCCTGGCTTCGGGTGGCCGGATTTTGGTGTGCCTCTCGTCTGAACCTGGTGTTGCGGGGGGGGGGGGGGGCCTAACCCAACTAGTCTTGTTTGCTTGGGAACCTTTCACAGCTCGATGTGAGAGAGGTTGGCCCACCCGTAGACAAGATGAAATCTTCTCGCATGTGCGGAGCTGACAGTTCGCAGCGAAACTTTTTCGTCGCAAGGCATCCAATGTGCAAATTTGACGGCTGATCCCTTCAGCAAGCTGCAAGCAACAGGTAGCAACCACCCCAGCGCCGGACGTGTCTTGGGAAGACCCCCTCCCCCCCCATTGTACACCAGCATCTTCTGAGAATTTTTGCATGGTTAGGGCTGGGTTGGTATGTCTGCCCGCCAAGCTTTTTGACCGTCTCCCCGATCCGGACAGAGAGAGAGCATTCGGCCGGAGGCTCGTGCAACCTGACGCTGGAGAGGGCACAGGAAAGCCCAGACCGGGAAGTCTTTGGGCAGACCTTTGAGGGCCATTACCTGGACTCCTCGACTGAGGAGGCGACGGCATGTCGTGCGGCGGGCGTGCGATGGCATGCGATGGCATGGGTTGCTTCAATTGGTAGGCTTGCTTGGGATGGACCTGTCGAGGGGTGAGAGAAGCTCAGAAGCTCATTGGCATATTGGGCTTGCAGTTGCTGGATGTCACTCAGACTTGTGCTGAAGGGTCGCAGGACCGTGCCTATCCAAATTGAGTTTTCACAGACATGGTGGCAGTATAGTTCCGTTGTTTGACCGCAGATGGCACAATCTGCCAATTGGGTTTGGCAATCTTTGTCAACTACCCACATGAGCTAAATCATGCCATCTACTTTCTCACCCTGCAACATGGGAGTCGCATCCAGCTGCAACGTTGTCACATGGGAAGGGAGGCTATGGCTTGGAAGATTCGCTTTCAAAAGCGAAGGGTCCAAAATGGGCTCATATTGGGCAACTTACCGGTTCAAAGGCCAAACCAGCAGTTGTTTTAACCCCATGAAGAACGTTTTGTTTTTTCAATCCCAAGAAGACAGCTTGGAACTGTATTAGCTTGCACGGGAATGGGAAGATGCCTCAAGGCAACTTAGGGCCAGGGTGCTAAGCTGCTCTTTCCAAGGTGTGCTGCTCCCTGAGGCCCTGGACTTGAGTCTCTGTTTGGGAAGGTCATGAAATGTGGAAAACAAACCTCCCAGGTTTTGTTGGCCAATCAGAGGCCCATCCCGTCGCGGGATGCCGTAACGCAGGGGGGGCTGATGGTGCTCTCCCGGATCTTCATCAACCATGTGGCACGAGAGAACTTAGAGGACTGGGAATCCTTGATTAAACGGGCCATTCTGTCCAGGAGTGTTTTTTTCAGGATGGGTTTTGTGTGTTGGGTGGGGTGGTTTTAGCTTTTGGCAGCTTTTGTGGCTGGCTTTCCGCATCAGCGTCGCCAGCAGCGCTGGGCTTTCCGCATCCAAAAGGCATCACCAAGCGCCCTTTGTGGACTATGTGGATGCAATGAAAAAGCAAGCGCTCCGCATCAGTTTCAACATATCGTACTTTTGGACCTGCTGCTAGTTTGTGGCGGGTTCCGGATGACTTCAACTTTGTCAGAGCTCATCATTCAATTCTCCATTCATGCCCTTATTTGTGTTCTTGCAGCCCCCCACCCCCCCTTCTTTGTAGGACCTAGGCAGAGCCAAAATACCAACCCTCAACGAAGCCTAAGTCTAAAGGCCCACTCTGCAACAACCTTTTGGCATGTTTTGCGTGACTTGTCGTACGAAGGACTCATGGAATGGAAAAAGCGAGCACTCCGCATCATTTCCAAAGTTCTGTTGGTCCTGCAGGTTGGTGGTGGGTTTTCGACTTCAACTTGTTAGCTCCTGATCAATTTCTCCATGTGTGTCCGAATTTGTCTTCTAGTGTGGCCGTTCGGCTTTGTGATGGCCTTAGCAGAAGCAAAGTCCCAGTCCTCAACGAACCCTAACGACATCCAAAGCCCCCCGTGAAAACAGGTAATTTGTCGTCAACCCTCAACTCACCCTAATCTCACCCCAAGCCGCCACCACTAAAACTAACAGAAGCGCACCTCATTTGTTTTTTTTTTTTGCACACCACCAAAACATGCGGGAAAAAAGCACACAAAAACACAAAACAAGAACTGCTACTGCTGTTACATTTGTTGCGGGCACAACGTGGTTTGTGTGTAATGATGTGATGGCGGGATCTCGGTTGTGAATGGTCTGTGCTTTCATGGTTGTTGGTTGTACCAATCCTTTGTACGTTTGTGTTGTGTGCTTGTGCCTTTGTCTTTCAAGCCTGCCTTGCCACGTTGCTTGAATTGTTTTGGTAAGTTCAATTGCATCCATTTTGTTGCTTTCAATTTGCGTCCATGTTTCTTTGCTCGTCATTGCTTTCTGGGTTTTTTGTTTGGACCCATGGACTCCTGTATCTGTTGGTGTATGTTTTTTGGTTTTCTCGAGGTTTTCTGTACTTTTATGAAATAGCGAGCAAACTCAAGAAAACCAACACCATCAAAAAAACATAGAATGTCAGACCCCAACTTAGCCAGCATGAGCACACAGGCGCTGAAGTTCTGCTCTTCTTTTCTTTTCTTTTTGTTTGGGGGGGGTTGTTGGTCTTTGGTGCACTTTGCTTGTCTGCCAGGACTTTAACTTGTTGCCAACTGATGGGTTGTCCACTAGACCACTAAAAGTTAAACTTTTAGCAGGGGATCAGAAAGCAACCGAGTGGTGTTCTCGAGGTTTTTTGTTTTGAGGCTGGGGTCAGCAAGAAAAAACACATATCCGCAAGAAGGAACCATTTGCCATCGCAGCCTTGGCATGTCACCTGTTAACCGCAACTGAATTTTATTCAAATGAAGTAGAAGAAACAGCCAGCTCGTCTTTCCTTGCCAGATGATCTAGATTACAGCAACAATCGAATTAACATCCTAGATGCTTGGAAAGGAAACCCCATCTAAATTCTAGTTCAATACAATAACTATAATTGGACCAGGTAGAAGAATTCAAGAAGATGAAGTGACGTCTGATCGAAACAAGCTCCACAACGAATCCATTGGTCGAAAATAGGCCACACCCTTGAACACCCGCCAAGCGCACGAGCACGCTCTACGTGTGTGCACCAAGACGTGACAGCTGATGTATTGCAATTGGCAAGCTAGTTTTGACTCTATGGTGGCTTTGTGTCTGTGCAAACTGCACTCGACATTAATGGCCGACCTGACCGTTGGCTCAAGGACACATCGAGAAAGGGTGCGCAACAGTTTCTGCCACTACATAACCATAGGTTATGAGCCCAAGCCAGCCATGATGCGCGGGCGACGACAACAACAAGATCTTGTTCGAGATGGGGAAACGCTGACCAAGCGCTAGACCGGATGATTCGCGAACAGGGATCTTCCTGGTGTAACAAAGAATTCGGTCGGTAAGCAAGGTGCGACAGCTCACAAACGTTGGCATGATTGCGCCGTTGGACAGTGACTAAAGGCTCGAACGAGACCGGTGCCTGGAGGGCGCGATCCGACAACCTGGAGGAGAGACGCGATCTTCGAAGGATGACGACCGAGGTGTGGGCTGCCTCCGGGATTGCATCATGGAGATGAACATGGTCGCCGCTGAGGCCGGCCGGAGAATCGGGAATGGTGGAGAGGCGGCCTGAAGTTGCGGAAGGTCGCGGACAACCTTGTTCAATACCGGAGAAGGACAGGCCCGACGAAGCTGCCCATTTCCGGATGGACGAAAATGATTGGGACGGACCAGGAAGTTTCTATCATCAACAGCATCAAGAGCCTCGCGGTGGTTATGGTTTGGGCCTGTTGATGGGCACGATGAAGGGCCCCGTGGAGGTTATGGTCGCGGTCTTCCTGAAGGGCACGATCGAGGCCTTCGTGGAGGCCATGGTCCTGGATTTACCCGGAGGACATGAGGCACGATTCAAATCCTCGAGAGGGGCAAGATTAGGGGACTTCTTGGAGGACTGATGGAGGTCAATTGGGAAACGCCAGCGGCGGCGCAGAGTGGAGTTGAAGGTGGGAACCAGCTCTGCAGACGTTGAGACTGTGGAGGAGATGGTTGAGATAGCCGGGCTACGCCAAGCCCGGCGGAGCGGGGTGGGAAGAGGTCTGATCTTGAGGCGAAGGCCGCAGGGGGAGTGTGGAAACTGCGCTCGGCATTAATGGCCCACCTGACCGTTGGCTCAAGGACGCATCGAGAAAGGGTGCGCGACAGTTTTTACCCCTACGTAACCATAGTGTCAAAAGAGTGCATTGCACTCCTGAATCCATTGCATCTGTCCCCTGTCACTCTTCGTTTTTGACTACAAATGCAAGAAAACAACTTGTTTGTCAGAATAGGGCGTTGCTTATGTCAAACAAACACTCCAAACACGAAACAACAATGCAACAATTCACCCCCCCATGAGCCGCCTCTCTCAAAACTAAACCAACCATAAACCAAACCTGACCCAACCTAAAGAAGCACAACTGAAGCCTTCTAAACCAGCAATAAACAACTAAGCCAAGCCTAAACAAACCCTAAGAATTCCCCAGATAAACGCTAAAATAAGCACCTTCTAAGCCACCGGCCCAACCCTAAAACAAACCCTACGCCAACCCTTTACCATCCCCCACGCTACCCGAAATCAGCGAGCAACCCGCTGGTGATGCTGGGCGTTTTCCTTTTTCCCCGGGGCGGGGGAGGGGGTGTCACCCACAAAAGCCAAGAAAAAGTGAGTTGGATTGCTGCAAGGGGACCCTTCCGCCCCAACATCCAAACCACTCGGAGGAAAGGCTGCTATGCTGCCTCATTTTTTGCGGTGCTGTTACCCGGTTTCCCCGGGTCCCAGTAGCTTCGGTTTGTGGGAAAGTGTAGGCCATCTTTGACAATTTGACGGCCAGGATTTCCCCTCATGCAGCGTGTCGCTACCTTCAAGGCGTTCAGGCGGGCGAGCTCCGATCTGCCGTGATACATTTTGGCCTCCGGATGTATGTCGAACCTGATGTACTCTTAGAGAATGGTCCCCCAAGCCAAGGTTTACACCCTCTTCACTCAGTGAGCCACTGGGTTGATGGAGCTTCAGCCGGACCCAATGGCTTGATGAAAAGCAAAGGCCGGGGGCTGGCTCGGGCCATCGAGGCTCTCGGCGCAGCAACCGCAGCACCCGCTCGGCGCGGTCCAACAGTTCGCGGGGCTCCCAGGGCTCGGGGAGCCGACGCGAGAAGCGGCCGCCGGCGCCCCGGCGGACATCGGGAGACGTGGCGACGTGACGGGCGGGCCTTGGGAGAGTAAAAATAACAAGGCCGAGGCTGGAGATGTGTTCGCTTTTCTCGTTTTGTTTGAGGGGGAGGTGCTTGTGGCAGGGGCAGCTTGGTGAGGCTGGGCCGCGTTGTTCTTTTTGTTTTTCGGGGCGGGGGCGGGGGCTTCAGGTCACACCTGAATTTGCTGGGTGGATGAGTGACACATCCCATGAGCGTGGAGATGAGTACTTGGCTGAAAAGAACCTGTTGTACGTCAATCATTACGTACATTTCCAGATCGGCTTTTGCAGCTTGTTGAGGCAATTTGCGCAGTCGCTGGTTTTGATTTGTGTCAGACTGCCTTGGGCTTCTTGGTAGCTTTTTTCCGCACTTTGAGTTGGCAGGTGAGAGAGCCCGCACTCAAGTAAGTTAACACGTCGCACGACATGTGGCGTAAGTAGACTATGAGACTGTGATCAGTTCATAAGGATCACATGGCTGTGAGTCAAAAATAGGCACCCAAAACGGAGCCTTGGTAAATGAAACAAAAGACTAAAACCTGCGCTCCAGTTTTCACCCACAACCACATGTCAACATCTGAAGGTTGCCTTACTGGTCTTGCTCAACGCTATCTTTGGCACCCAGGGCCTAAAGCGCGTATCCCAAAATGGAATTGCGGATAGCCCTCTCATTGTGTGGACAACGGCTCAAGGTTGTCTTTCTGAGCTCCCTCAGACCTCAGCAATTTACAGTTGGGTGAGACAAGATGGCGCAACTCACCCCACGCCCCCCACCCCCCCACCCCGCCACCCCCCACCCCCCACCAAACCCCCCTCCCCCACCCCCTTTTTTCGAGGAGAAATTGCTGGTTTTTTTGACGGCTGGAACTGGAAGCTGACCATCATGCTTTGGTTTCAGAGTGGCAAGGGTCAGCGCCTGCAAGCAACACTCGAGCTTGCCCTATGTGGCCAAAGTCGACCGAGAAAGCATCACGGATTACTGGCTGGGCCGAATTTGTTTGGGCAACTTACGAGCTCACCTGCGGATAAAACAGCTCCCCTGTGAAATTCTTTTACTTAAGCATCCTTGTTTCCGGCATGTGACTTAACACACAATATTTGTCTTACTTTTTCCTACAGGCATGTGCGTAGGTGATCCGTAACCGTCTAGCTTCAGCACGCCTGGCCGTTTTGATTGGCCACGTCCAGCAATTCCAAACCTCACACCGAGCAAACCTGCCAAATCAGAGCCCAACGCAGACCCGCTCGATAGAGGGATGGGGGGGGTTCTACTTGCATTCTTCAAGGGGGGGGGGACTTGATTAATCGACGGAGGGCACAGCTTCAGTAAGGGGGGGGGGGGCTTCATGAATCGAAGGAAGGGCGGGGGGAGAAATCGCGGGGGGGGGACGGAGGGGAGAGCTTCCTTAGGGGGGGGGGGTTCATGAATCGGCTTTCATCAAGGGGGGGGGGGCCCTCCTTAATTGAGGGGGGAGCTTCATGAAAGTGGGGGGGGGGTGGGCTTCATGAATCGAAGGGGGGGTGGGCTTTCATCAAGGGGAGGGCATAAATCCACGGGAAGGGGGCGAGGGGGGTCGTTAAGGGAAAGGGCGGCTTGTTGCTCGAAGGGCGGGGGCTGGGGAGGCTCTTCATTAGTGGGGGGGGGGGGGCATAAATCCACGGGAAGGGGGCGAGGGGGTCGTTAAGGGAAAGGGCGGCTTGTTGCGAAAGGGGGGGGGGTCGAAGGGCGGGGGCTGGGGAGGCTTCGTCGACTCAGGGGCGGGGGCAGGGGTTGAATCGACGGGGGGACTTCATTAACTAAGCATGGAGGGAGTGTTTCATTAAGATGGAAGCTTGCATCCGGGGGGGGGGGGCTTCATTAACTAGCATTTTTCTTGTTTGCAGAGTCTGGGCGATCCGTTTGTGCATGGTGCTTTAACACGTGCAGCCCCCGCCCTTGCTAGAGCTGCGCTTGATCAAGGCCCCTTCCCTTCCTTGATGAAGCACCGCTTGTTCGAGCCCTCTTGATAAAGCCGCGCTTTTTCAATGGCTCCCCCCCCCCGCCCCCCCCCCCCCTTGATAAAGCTGCGCTTCTTCAAGCCCCCGCCCCCCCCTTAACATCTTCCCGAGGGGGGGGGGAGGCCGCCAACCCAAGGCAACAACCCCCCCCCTTGATTAATTCCTCCCCCCCCTTGAGATTGAAGTAGAACCCCCCCCCCCCACATCGAAGCGGTCTCGCCCAACGTCCATGTGCCGGGATGTTGGGGATGCGGCAAATTAGCCGGGCCAAGGTGCCACCGCCTCTTGCCCCCGAACCCGCAAGGCTTGAGTTAAAAATGAGACCTGTACTTACCGTGCGGCCCAGCTTTTGCTCAGGGGGGCCTTGTGTTGAACGAAGGCAGCAACAAATTGGGGCCAGCTAAAGCAAACACACCCCAACCCACATCATTGGAAGGATGCGAGACTTCCCGTGGGCTCCTTTGGTACTTTGCGCACTCAACCTGATCCTTTCTTTGATACTGCATCAAGGGAAGACATGGCCTAATGGCCAACAAAAGGTCATTGCGGACTTGTCCGGAAAAGGGGAACATGCAACTGGGTGCTCTATGGCTTTTTTTTTGGATTTGCCTACGCCAAAAACATGGAGAGGGGTCATCTGCCTCAGGAATCCGGAGACCTGAAGTCGCTGCAGCATAGCCGTAGCCAGAGCTTGCCGTGCCGTCTCTAGAGCCACCCGCTCCTCCGAGTGGGCTTCGCGACTGTGGAAGCGATGAGCTTTTCTCGGGGTCATTTCACTGCTTGAGGGGGTCAAAGTCAGACACTGGAGTTGTGTTGCCAACCTACCACGAGAAGGGGGTGGGAGAGGGGATGACTTTGGAGATGGTGGTTCGCATCATCGCTAGACGGAAGGCTGACTTCTTCACCGTTCGCCTTCGAGTGGATAGGTGGATGGCTTGTGGAATGCCCAGCCCCGTTCCAGGACCATCATGTTTTCGTTTTTCCTGTCCCACATTCTCCCTTTCAACCAGCAAAAAGTTAAGGCTTGTTGTGCAAAGTGACCATCATGCGGCCCAGGGAAAACTGGGGCCTTTGCACGCGCCGGGTTATTTTGTTGGTTGGCCTTGCTGGCTTTGGTAGGATGGTGGCTTGAAATGTTTGATTGTTTTGTGCATGCTGGCTTTGTTCTGATGTGAGAGCCTCACTCTTTCCTTTGGATGGAGGGCGCAGGATTATTTTTGTGTTGGCAGGCTTTCAAGGACAATTCATTTTAATTACACACCGGGCGGTCCACACCATGGACATATCCAGCCAAGTGGCAGAGCCACGATCAGGGGCCACGATCGCACGTTACAGGCTATCGTCGTAGAAGTTGTGGCGAGGCCCGATTCCGATCATTGGAGTCGGTTTTCACAGACACCCTGCGGTACCCTTTTCTCTTGGTTTTTCCAAGTTGGACAGGGTGGGTTCGTGCAAACCAGCTACCAAAACCGTCGGTATGTAAACATCAACTACCAAGAAAAATAGGTCTGAGGAGAGCGCACGGAAAAATAAATCAATTCGCAAAAAAGGTCGGTGGTTAAACATTAACTACAAACACAATAGGTCGGTACTTGCACATAAAGTGGCAACAGACAGGTCTAAACATCAACTACGTCATCCACTACCAACAGAAAGCTTAGTACTTAAACATTTCACTGCGGTGAAAAGGTCCGCACCCACACATAAACTGCAACAAAAAGGTCAGTGCTCAAACATCAACTACCAACAACAAGGAACGGTCGGTACTTAAATATCAACTACCAACAAGAAAGATTGGCGCTCGAACATCACCTGTCTACAACGTCTTTACTTCAGTACCGACTACCAACAAACAGGTTGGCGCCCAACTGTCAATAACAACAAACAGGTCGTTACGTAAAGCATTGCAGCCGCTGGGGCGGTCGTATTTTTCCACCCGCAGACGAAAACGAATTCCGAAGACGCGTTCGCCCGACTCTCTGAAAGAAAGAGGAAGCGCAAAGACAAATTCTCGAAGCCGAATTCCGCCCCGAAGCCGAATTCTACCCTGAAGACAAACTGAGAAGACGACTTCCCGAAGAGGTTCCCACCCGAAGACGAATTGCGCAGACGAACTCGCTGGAGCCAAGCTCCCTCCCGAAGCCGAATTCCTGCCGCAGACGAATTGCGAAGGCAGTTTCCCGAAGACGACTTCCCCCCCAAAGACGAATTGTGAGCACGAATTCCCCACAGCCGAATTCTCCCCCAAAGCTGATTCCCCCCCCCCCGGAAGACGAATTGCGGGGACGAATTTCCGAAGACGAACTTAGCATGCTGACAGTGTGTTTTCGTGGTAATCTCGTCCACCTCATCATAGACGGCCCCCTACATAGTAGATGTTTTTGTCAAAAATGCTGTCTCGATTCTGATGGTACGGCTGGCCTTAAAAATAGCGGCAGGGTATGCCAGCCTGTGTTTGCGGCTGCTTGATGCATAGATGCTAGTGGAAAAGGACCGTCGAGCCTTGTCCTCAGGAAGTTGCCGTCCTTGCCTTGTTTCAGGGTAACACTCAGACAAAATTTTAGGGCGGTGGGCCACTGGACAACCCGTTCTGCGAACTCTGCTTACGAAAGCAGGGTTCTGCAAACCATCCTACAAAGGAGTTCTGCAAAGTTTGCCACTGGGCTCTGCAAAGTTTAGGCCGCAGTACTCTAGAAGACAACTAGAAGATGGGTGGCCCGAAAGCATTAGCAGCGGCAGCAAGTTCTCCTAGCAATCCTAGGAAGTTCTCCGCGCAGTTGCGCGTCTGAGCAAGTTGTTGGCGCGAGTTCCTCTGAGCAAGTTCTCCAAGCAAGTTCTCTGTGCAAGTTGCTCTGAGCAAGTTGTCGGCGCGATTTCCTCTGAGCAAGTTCTCCAAGCAAGTTCTCTCAGCAAGTTGCTCTGAACAAGTTTGCTATATTCGCGAAACACTTTCGTACTTAAAAGTTGCGATTTTCCAGCCGGAGCTGCAAAGGTTTACTTCGCGTGCTAGTTCGACTGAAAAGTTGCGATTTTCCAGCCAGACTTCGCGTACAACTTTCGTACTTAAAATGTGATTTTCCAGCCGGAGCTGCGAAAGTGTACTTCGCGCTCAAAAGTTGCGCCGGGGCTGCGAATGTTTACTTTGCGTACTACTTTCGTACTTAAAAGTTACGATTTTCCAGCCGGAGCTGCGAAAGTGTACTTCGCCTACTACTTTCATACTTAAAAGTTGCGATTTTCCAGCTGAAGCTGCCGCGGACCAGGGGGGAATCGAACCCGCGACCGCGGGATTGCGAAAGCAGGCGCGCAAACCACGAGACAACTTCAGAAGGCAATTTCGCGAGCAATACGACACACCCCAGAGGGTTCACCGGTCCCGCAGAGGGCTCGGGCCTGAACCCCGTGACTCCAAAGCAGTCCCGCCAGAGCCGCCCGCCTCCGCCCGGCCTTGGCCAGCTGGCGGGACATGCCGCCTGAAAAACTACTATTCCTCCAGTCCGTCTGCAACAATAGCTCGTCTACGACGAGGGTCGCGCGGGCAGATCAGGAATCGCAAAAAGCCTCGAGTTGTTGCACCTCGACCACGCCGACCCCCGCAGAGGGTCGCGCGGGCACCGCAAGAATCGCACAAAACCTCGATTTTTTGCACCTTGACCATGCCGATCCCCGCAGAGGGTCGCGCGGGCAGATCAGAAATCGCAAAAAACCGCGAGTTTTTGTACCTTGACCACGCCGATCCCGGGGAGGGTTCATCCGCGCACCGCAAAAACGCAAAACGCCTCGAGGTTTTGCACCTCGACCACACCGAGACACCGATCCCGCAGAGGGTCGCGCGGGCAGATCAGAAGCCGACGCGCGCAGAGGGTCGCGCGGGCACCGCAAGAATCGCAAAAAAATGAGTTTTTGCACCTCGACCACGCCGATCCCCGCAGAGGGTCGCAAACCCGATCGACGATCAAAGTCCTGCCCCGGAGCCCGAGAAAGCCAAACAAAACTTACATAGGTGCCAACGCCGAAGCGCAATGCACTTGGCTCTGTGCACTTGGCTCTATGCACTTGGCTCTATGCACTTGGCATCACTTGGCTCTATGCACTTGGCTCTATGCACTTGGCTCTATGCTCTTGGCTCTATGCACTTGGCTCTATGCACGGCTCTATGCACTTGGCTCCATGCACTTGGCTCTTTGTATTTGACTTTGCGCAAGTGACTCTATGCAAGTTGGTCCGAGAGCTCCGCGCGGAAGAACCCTTCGCGATGCTTTCGGGAAAAAAAGGTTCTGCGAACCCTTCAACGAAGTCTTTGCAGAACTTCCCAAACTCCAGTCGAGTTTGGCAGGAAACCAAGCGATCCTTGGACGAAGTTCTGCAGACCGGGTCCGTCCAAGGCACGGTTTCCAACGACCAGTAACCCAGTTGCTGACCTCGATCTTGCGTGCGTCGACTAAATCGAACGCTTCCTTATCAAGGCAAGATTGGCGCTCTAGTAACTTTGTCTCACGGAGCTTCTAAGCTCTTATCTCAGTGGCCGTTGCTTTCTTCTGCTTCTTTCCAGTGAGTGCGGATGTCGTTGAAACTTTTGACGACTCTTGCTGGGATGAGTACAAAACTAGACGTGCACGATCATCATCGTCTGCCATGTGCTTGCAGAATCTGAGCTCGGTCATGTAGGGTCACTGTGCCTCGTCAAGCGCAAGGTCAGCTTCCTGATCGGCGCCTCTGCTAGCCTTCTGATTCACCGCCTTCTTGGTCAGTGAATCTCATGGCTCTCTGTGAAACCAGCGCTCGATGATGCAGGGACTTGAGGAACGAGTTTCTTCCTCATTGTCTGAATCCCATTGGCTGGATTGTTCGGATTGTCTCGGGGTGAAGAGGCAGGAGCCGTCCTGGTTGAAGACTCAAATGATTGTTGATCACCTGACTTCTTCCCCGTCTTCTGCTTTCTCTGTGGACTGCTCTGCAAGGGATGTTTTTGAGTTGTTTCCTCTTGCCCAAGATGCCCCCCAGTCGGTTCAGCCCACTTGAGGATGAAATTGGCTGCTTTTGCCGTTTGGCCTACCACTAGGCTTGTCGTGTGGCGGCAGCCATCAACAGGACACAACAGGACACAACAGGACTGTCTGGTGACACATCCGGCGGTTGCATCGGATGATCTGGCTGCGTCCGACACGTGTTAGTCCGGTGGACTTGGTGGTCTAGGATCAGGCATCACCAGGTTGACTGGATTCATCTGGCGGGTGTGGTGTCCGTCTTGAGTACAGAATTGCATGCTACACCCTGGGACCTCACAGTCATTCCAATCACATCTGCGTGCGGGCATGATCCAAAAAAGTCAATCTCACTACCTGGCGGGTACTGCTTCATTGAAGCCTGAAGTTTGTCGACAATGGATCATTGATGACTCATGGCTGAACAGTCTTGTTGAAAGGGGATCTTCACAGACACACTGCTGCTTGTCATCTTGATCCCTCTCAATGGCATCCATCTCCTTACGGAGAATGTCCACTTGTTGATCGGTGAATGGCTCAAAGATGTCCTGCAAGAGGTACGCCTCGCTGTCGAGCGGCTTCACCTTTAGGTGCCGCAAGAGGATGTGCGCAAGATCGCGGCAGAACTGGTGTGGATGAACTTGCGCTAGTTTGGTTCTGCTTCCGAAAGGTTCTGCGCAAGCGGTTGATGTTCGTGTTTCACTGATGTCGTGAAATTCGGGCTTCATTTCCTCAGGAGGCAAACAATGAAGCAAGCTTGGCTTCAGCGTCGCATTCCAGATTCAGAATCC